CCATGCGCGTCGCCCGAAGGGCAGGCCGCCGCGAAAGGGCCCACGTGCAGCCCCCGCCCCTCAGGCGACGCCAGCGGCACGGCTGTGGAGATTTCGCGCGCCTCCAGGCCGCACGGCGCGGGGCGGGGGGCCTACGCGGGGCCCCTGGGCCCCGGCCCCGGGTTCGAGGACCTGGACTCCGAGTCCCTGTTTGACCCCGTGGGCCCGCTCCTGGACCTGGGGGGGAGCTGCGGGAACGAGCCGGCGCTGCACCTGGTCCTAGAGGACGGGGGCGAGACGGGCGGGGCGCGGGGCGCGGAGGCCTTCAAAAAGCCCAGGCTGGGGTGACCGGCGCGAGCACCCCGCGCCGCGCGGCGGGGCCCCACCCCCAATCCCTCCTCAACCTGGAGAGATGGAGGGGCGGGCGGGTGCTGACAGGTCAAATCGCAGCCAGACTCCGAGCCCCGCAGGGCTCCGCCCCGCTCATTCTCTGATTTAGTCTGGCCCCCTCGGGCCCTGCTTTCGCTCAGCTTGAGACACACTCCGCACGCCCCAACACCCCCCCCCTCCATCTGTCCCGGCGGGTGGGGGGCTCAACCCCGGCACCTCTGGGGAGGGTTCATCCCTCCCCGCGCTCTGCCCTTTTGTATAGAAGCACTGTTCCATGGTCCCGTGTCGTCCTTGACTCCCTCGCCCACCCCCAGCTTGACCCTGCCCTAGCCCTGGCCAGCGCTGCTTAGTGGGCACGGAGCACAATAAACCCCTCCTTTTGACTCCAGCAGCCCTGAGGGTGGGGGGCACGTGGGCGTCGCTCTGCAGCGCGAGCCCGCAAAACCCCTCTGACTGGGCCGCCTGCTTCGCGCTACACATGACCCGTCCATTTTCACACAAAGCTACTCACATTTCCTGTGCATGTGTGTAGACCTTGAACGTTCAGAGGGCCGGCAGTGGGCATTCATCCGGTGTTCAGATTTTAAGGCCAATCTGCTTGGGTTTACGCGCGCGGGGGGGCGCGCTCACGGCGCATCTGATTCGTCTTCCAGAGCGATATGGTACAGGTCATTGATCAAGCGCATCGTTTAGAGCATTTAATTTAGGCTTATGTACATTTGGGAGGGGCGTTCTCTCGTCGACGCTGGTAGCACCTTGTCGCGCATGCTGGCACCCCTGTCCTCCTAGACGCAGCCAGGCCCACAATGATCTCCGCGATTGCATGGATACCAAAGGGAGTCGCGAAGGCGGAACTCGAGCAGACAGTACTATCTCCCGAGGAGCTGGCCGCACTGCGTGCACTGCAAGTGAGTGTCGCCTGCAGTGTCTGAAGGGACCCCCCTGCACACTCGTTGCCGCTGCTATGCCGCGCCGGCATTGGAAGAGTCTCCACATTCTCCATCTCATGAATCGATTATTCTGACAGCTCATACCCCCTCACTGCTCTCTTCGTTTTCCAGGCCGAAGCCGGCACCTCCGATGAGGAGAGCGAGTGGGAGGAGGGGAGCAGCGACGAGGACGAGGTCATGGATGAGGAGGCCGCGGTGGCCAAGGCTCAGGCCATGGCGGCCACTGTGAAGGGCCTCACCCCCGACCCGGAGGCCAGTGGTCCCGCACCCGGCCCCTCAGACGAATCCCTCGCCGCTGCGATGGCTGAGCTGGACATGGAACACTACGACGACAGCGACCCCGAGGAGGCTGGGACCAGCAGCATGAACCGCATCCTTGGTAGCTCTGGGAACCCAGGTGGGTGTGAGACTCTTGTCTGGAGCTTGGACTGGGGTGGGCATGTCGCATCCACCTGGGCGACGTCACGCCATGTGCGGTTCTGATGTCCTGAGCACGCTTTGCTGGTCAGTGCACCCACAGCCACCCCACCGTCTACCAATCGTCCCTGGGTGGCACGGGTTTCAGGCATCGACCATCACCGCCGAGCATCAGCTCCACTGCCCACGGCCTCGCACGCCCGCCCCATCCCCGCAGGCATGGCATTCTACAAGGATCCGACGCTGGACCCCTATCTGCAGGGCGACAAGGCCGGTGCCAGCGACAGCGACTCCGAGACGGAGGCCATGACCCTGCAGAAGAACGACCTGCTCATCATGGCGGCACGGAACGAGGACGACGTCAGCCACCTCGAGGTGAGAGCCGGGAGGCCAAGGCCGGACCACCGACGGGGACGCCGCCTCGACTGCGCATGCGCTGGTCTCCCGCGGCCGCAAGCCCCCCTTCACCAGCGTCCCTTCCCCCACTCCCCTTCTGGCTAGGTGTGGGTGTACGAGGAGCCCGACACGAGGGGCCCCGCCAACCTGTACGTGCACCATACCATCCTGCTGCCGGCCTTTCCACTGAGCGTCGCGTGGATGGACCTCGCGCCGGGAGAGGTGGGCCGGTGCCTGGAGGGGGGCGGCTGGGGGACTGGCTGGGGGACATGCGTCATCCACACCGCGGGCCATCGTGACTTGTCAGCACGCTCCTTCCCCGGCTGCCCCACCGCCCACAGGATGGTCACAGGAACATCGCGGCAGTGGGCAGCTTTGAGCCGGGGATCGAGCTGTGGGACCTCGACAGGATGGATGCAGGTGTGTGTTTGATGTGGATGGCCAGGAGGTGAGGGGATGGCAGGCTGTTTGCAATGTGCCCCTGGGATGCAGGTACTCCCCCAGAGAGCATGTCCTCTGCAGCATGCATCTGCGTCGCCACACATGCGTCGGGTGAGTCCACACTTCCTGCGATCCCCCCTGGTCGCCAGTCGAGCCGGTGGCCACTCTGGGCGGTGCCGACTACGAGGCGACCAAGGCGGCGGCGGCGGCAGCGGCAGGGTCCAAAGGAAAGAAGGGCAAGAAGGTACGGGCCGGATCCTCGGAACTGGACCTGCCACTTTCGGGAAGGCTGCAGATCATGCCATCCAAACACACAGGCTCAGCCCCTGAGTGGAGTGGCTCGTGCCCAGCAATTACGGCACGTCGCTGCGCCCGAGCCTGGACCATCTCCACATCCCTTTGCTCCCTTTCCTCGATGATCTACAGAAGAAGCAGCTGCCCAGCGTGGAGGTCCGTCCTGGCAGTCACACGGACGCGGTGCTGGGCCTGTCCTGGAATCGGGAGTACAGGAACGTGCTGGCGTCTGCGTCGGGTGAGTGGGGCGTGGAGGCAGCGTCTTGGATTGCTTCCACGGTGCAACGGGGGCACCCCTGCCCCACTCCTCCCAAGCCCCCCACACTACCAACATTCCCCCCCACACACCACTGGACCCCACCTCCGCCCCCCCCCCGCCCCCCCCCCCGCCCCCTCTCCTTCCACATGCAGCCGACCACAGCGTCAAGGTGTGGGACGTGGCGGCCGCCTCCTGCACCCACACCCTGGCCCACCACAGCAGCAAGGCGCAGGCGGTGGTGTGGAACCCGGCCGAGGCCCCCATCTTGCTCTCCGGCGGCTTCGACCGCCGGGCGGCCCTGGTGGACCTGCGGGTCGCCGACGCCGCGCCCGCCAGCTGGGCGGTCCCCGCCGACGTCGAGGCGCTGGCCTGGGACCCGCACAGCCCCACCGCCTTTGTGGTGGCCGCCGAGGATGGCAGCGTCAGCTGCTTCGACGCGCGCAAGGTTGGATTGAGGGAGGGGGGAGGGGGGGGGTGCCGGAGCACCGGTGACAGAGGGAAAGGCCCTGACGCAGCGAGGGTCGGGGGTGCACCGGCGCGCTGGCCTGCGCAGAAGGACGCCCTCACCATCGCCTCCGAGCCCCGACGCGCCGCAGGGGCCCGGCTCCGAGGCGATGTACTACCTGGCCGCGCACAAGAAGGCGACGTGTGCGCTTTCCTTCTGCCCGGCCGTCGCCGGCCTCTTCCTCACGGCCAGCACAGACAAGAAGGTGGGCTCGCTGGCTCTTTTATGGGTTCCAGAAATACCGTGCACGGGCCTGGGAGCTTGGCTGCACGGGGCCCGGGTAGCAGTGAGTGCCTGGGAGGAAGCCAGCGGGCCTGTGGCCCCTGCTCCCGATGATTTGCCATCGCATCGCCAGGGTCATCGCTGCCAATCAAAAACCCTGCACCAGGTCAAGCTGTGGGACACCCGGGGCGGCGGCGAGCCGGCCCTGCTGGCCACCCAGGACCTCAAGGTCGGGGCCGTGTTCTCCGCCGGCTTCTGCGCCGACGCGCCGATGCTGGTGGCCGCGGGCGGGGCGGCGGGGACGGTGGCGGTGTGGGACACCACGACTTGCGAGGCTGTGACGGCCTTTGCGGGCGTGGAGAGTGCGTGACTGCATGCGCGGGGGCCTGGAGGACGCACCTCCTGGATTGGGCGGAGCCCTCTCTGGTGCATGCACATCAGACCATGGCATGCTCTGCTCCATCAAATGCAAGGGCAACATGGAGCGGACTCTTTGGGACAGAGAGGGGTCAGGAACAGCAAGAGCAGCGAAGAGCGCCCGAGGTGGTCGTTCTGAGCAGCCGAGCCACCCAGCGTGCTCTGGCCTGTGCCTGACGACTATGTGCGAAAGTTGCAGAGGGTGACGCAGCGTGCAGGGGCACTGGCCAGGCATGGAAGCCAGCATGGCACGCACACTCGTGGCAGCAAGGGTCCCCCATCGCAGGGCCGCAAGCCGCTCGACTCCAGCCAGGTCCCCTGCACCATGACGTGAAGCCCGTCCTCAGTGCCTGCGCTCCCCTGAGCCGACAAAGGTCTGCCACTGCTGCTTCGCATAGGTCACCATATAGTCTGCGTTCTTGCCCATGCGCGTGAGCAGCTTTCTGACTTGCTCGTCATACCTGGCGAGAGGTAGATGAGCAATGGAATGAGTCTTCAAGGGTGTGAAGGCGACGAGACACAGTGGTCCCAGAAACCATGACTCAAGCACTCCGAGCCCTTGAAGGAAAAGTTTCCCCAGGGATCTAATGTGCCTCCAACCCACCTCTTGGCAAACTGGGCATAGTCGAAGCCATCTTGGGACGGTACTCCTGGAACTGGGAAGGATAGGGGTGATATACAGCTTGGAAAGGTAATTGGAGCTCTTAGGTGTCAGAGCAGGGGGCTACCACTTAGGATACATTGGGACTTGCTGGAAGCAGTAGCTGACCTTTAAAGTTCCATGTTTCCACCCCAGCCACAATCTCAACCCACCACCTGGAGTCTCCTCCTCACCATAGCTTATTCCAGGTCGCGGCTTGGCAGGCCGACCCTCTGCTTCTCGGGTGGCTGCCAGGGGAGGCAGGTCTGCCTGTGGACCCTCCGGCATGAGTCTAGGGTTGTGCTGCCCATGTGCGGCAGCAACTACCTGCCAGGCAGAGAGGCCAGAGTTTGTCAGGAGCAGGCCTGAGATGTCCCCAGGTTGTCAGAGCGATGAGAAAAGGCACCCAGAATGGATTCCCAATTATGGGAATTTGCACCAGAAATCGACATCGAATCATTCAAGGGACTGTCATTAACACCCACACCTCTATTCCCTCGCAGGCTGGCATGGTGATGGGCTCCCCAGGTTTACTATTTCGGCCCGCGTCCCTGAGAGCTGCCTCGTCGTATGCACTGTACCCTACACACATGAACCTGTATTTTTAAGGACGACGTGCAATCAGCATGCTGTGAATGGATGTCTTCTCAAGCATCCCAGATGCCTCATGGTCGCGCAAGGGACAGATTGCCTTAATTTTTTGGGTTCCCTCACAAGCCAGACTCACTTGAAGTCGCCACTCGGGAGGGCATCTGGCGACCCATTTAGAACAGCGCCTGCTTCCTTTCGGCGTTTAATGCCAGCACATGCCTGGAAGATGCGCAGGGAAGGCACTCTCCTTTTACTTGTGTGGTGTCGAGGTAGGACATAGGAAGCCTCTGCACCTGTCCCCATTAGATCGAGCCATCTCCGCAGCTGGCCACATGATCCTTACCGGTGGTCTCCCGAGGTCATGACGTAGCTGGTTGTAGAACAGTACGCCCAAGCATGTACGTGGCTCGGGTTTGGCAGAATTCACCCCTGGGCGAGGTGGTGCTGTCGCCATATACCCCGGGAAATGCACACAGCAAAGAATGCAATATGAGAGTCAGGATGTGGAGGATATTTAATGAAACATTACGCACAAGGTAGAGGCCTACCGCGAGAGGCGCGATGGGTGACCTGGGGAGACGAGATCCACGTGGGGCTCCGATGGTGCACAGACTGGCAGGTTGGTTTTGAATGCCGTGATCACTGCACTTCATGGGAGCGATAACCTTTATGCCAACCTCAGTATTGGCCAAGCTCTCAACTGTCTGATCAAGGTCTGAGAGCCGCAGAATCCTCATGCAGGGGACGGTGCATGGGGAGGGGCTGCCGGAGCACATGTTGACTGTGCTGGGGACCAAACATCATAATTCCAGACTGCAGACGCCAATTTTGCAACCAGACGTATGAGCTTAGGGCAGAGGAGTGATAGGAGAGCACACGTGTCCTCTCCAGGCCATACTGAGCATTGCATGGGCAATGGTTGTGCAAGTGGCTACAATCCTGGATAAAGGTAGTCTTCATACCTGGATGCAGTTGGCGCTACCGATCGGACCACCCCACCCACTGTCAAGGACCTTGCTGCGGTCCCTCGAGATCCTTAGATCAGGAAAGGGTCTCAATTCATGACCTTGACTTAATTCACATTATTTCACTCAAATAGCAGTTTCGGACCAGACCCGGGTTCGATTCCCGGATTGCGCAGTCAATCCCACGACTACCTCCCAACCAGCGCAGTTGGTTTAGTGGTAGAATAGGTCCCTGCCATCAATCTTTTGGGCAGGCGGGTATGTGCATGGATTCCGTCCAGCCGCCCAACCCATCCTTGCCCCCGCCCACATGGCACAGCCCGAAGATCTCCCTGATTCTCCTCGCGCTCCCCGACCGATCCTAGGGCCTAGGCCACGCCCACCTCTGCACCCTCCCTGGGGTATTCTTCCCTGATATCATTTGGGCACTCGACGGTTCCACCGCCATGCCCATGATGATCGGGTCAGCCACCATCCCTTGCACCGGATCATGGGAAGCCCGCACTGGCATATCATGGCATCCCAGGAGGCGACAGAGGGACCGTCTGGGAGTTTCTCGCCCTCTATGTCGACTGCAGCGCCGCGAACAGGTAGCGCTTGGGCTCGGCATGGCTGAGCATGGGGCGCCGAAGTCTTCGATCATTTGAGCTCCCATGCACACCATGCCCCCACTCACCCCCCCGCCCGTTTTCATTACACCGCCAGGTGTCTGTCGGCATCCCCGCAGCCACGACCCTCCCTGGGCACTCGACTGCACCGGCCTTCCGGCTGGTCCCCTCCTGGGCACTGGGGTCCGGGGTGGTGTTGCTGGTGCTGGCCTTTGACCAGCTGCGGCGGCAGTGGTGGAGGCTGGCGCAGCCCCAAGGGGGGGTGGCGGTCTCAGCACAGGCTCCGCCTGCTCAAGAGGTGCCGATCTCCATCGCTCAGGGGCCGCCGCGGGCGACTGTTCAGGACGCGCCGGCTTTTGCCGCTCAGGAGTCGCCGCAAACCATTGCTCGGGAGGCGCTCCTGCCAGATGCCCTGGTCCAGGCCACTGACCAGGTGCAGCCAGCCCCTCCCACACCCTTCTCCCCTGTCGAGCTGGCAGCGCTCCACGAGTCGGCGCAGGACAGGGCCTGGGCATTGGAGTCGGAGCTGGGGTCCCTCTATGTCAGGCTGTGCAGGGGCCTGCCCCGCCACGCTACCAGCGAGCTCAAGGCGCTGGGGGCGCGAATCTCCCGCCTGGAGGCCGAAGCAGATCGCGACGTGAGGCGGCCTGGGTGTGTTGTGTTGGAGTCCTGGACACGTTTGATTTGCAATCCATGCCATCTGCATGTCGCACTCCATCGGCAGGCGTGCATCGTGTCATCCCAACACCTCTCTCATGTCCTCCAATCACACCAGGGCGAGGCGCCCGACCATCTGCGACGCTGCGCCCAGCTGTCCAGGGCGCAGCTGGATGTCCTAGAGGCGGCAGGCGCGGATGTCTCCGCGTATGCCCCCCTCCTGGCCTCCTACTTTGATCAGCGGGCCCTCGTGAGCAAGGTGGAGGGCATGGTGCGCTCCCTGGCAGGGCCACGCGCGGCTGGCCAGGCCGGCGAGGCGAGGACACCCGCGGTAGATGGCACGCCCACATTTGAGACCCAGGAAAGTGACTTCCAGAGTGGGAGTTCCCCGGGTGGGGCTGTCCAGGAACCCCGACAGGCAGAGGAAGACGACGGCGCGACAGCCCAGCCCTCCCGAGGAGATGCCCAGCTCGTGGGCGGCAACGTGCGGGAGGGAATCCTTGCTCCTGGGATCACAGGACCAGCTCCTCCTGGGCCGCAACCTGAGGCGGTCCTGGTTGACGTGGCGGAGAATGGAGGAACGGAGGGCCCAGGTCGGTCTGACATGCAAGGGAGCGAGCAACAGCCCGCCACCAGCCAGTCGGCGCCGCCTGCAGTGATTCCAGAGCCGGCGCCCTGGCCACAGTCCGCAGTACCCGAAGGCGCGCCGGCATCGGTCCGTGATCCATCCGAAGCTGCTCCGTCTGCCGGACCCGACCCTGCTGGGCGGGCCGCCCCTCCCGCTCCCTCAGCACCCCGGCTTACGGTGGTCGGGGGAGCTGCCATGTCCCCCCACCCCGCCAAGCAGAAGATGGGCGGCGAGGACGCTTTCTTCCTGGGCAGAAGCGCCTTTGGCGTGGCCGACGGGGTGAGCGGCTGGGCCGACTACGGCATCGACCCCTCCCTCTACCCCCGGGCCCTCATGGCCTCCTGCGCCCAGCTGGCGGACAGCGGCGACGGCGCCCCGCTCTCCACGGCGGCGCTGCTGGAAAGCGGGCACGAGGCCGCGCAGGAGCCCGGCAGCGCCACCGTGGTGCTCGCGCAGCTCGACCCCGCCCGATCCACCCTGGACATGGTCTGCCTGGGCGACTGCAGGGCCTGGGTGGTGAGGGACGGGCAGGTGGTGCTCGAGACGGAGGTGAGCGGGGACGACCCTGAGGGCATGGGAGTTGACGACTGGGTGATGGCCTGTTCGAGGCACCTGCAAGGGAGGATGTAAGAGGTGCCGTGAGCGTCCGACCCGCATCATTTCGCCTGCACCCTGCCCGAAGCAAGTGCGGCGTCGCTGTCCCATCACACACCTGTGCAGATCCAGGAGCACGAGTTCAACCAGCCCTTCCAGCTGGGCCATGGGGAGTATGGGGGCAACTGGCCGCAGGATGCCAACCAGTACAGCGCCGACCTCCTGCCGGGGGACCTCCTGGTCCTGGGCTCCGATGGTCTGTTTGACAACCTGTGGCAGGAGGACATGCTGGAGGTCATCCGCACGTGCATGGAGGAAGGCGCCGGCCTGCCGTCGCAGGGGGAAGACGGGGTGAGTGGATGATTGGGTGGAGCGACTCGGCGCGTGGATGGTTGGGTGGAGCGACTCGGCGAGTGGCTGGTTTTGATGGTAGGTCTTGAAGCTCCCGCGTGCCATGCCATGGCGCGGGAGCAGGGGCCATGGATGCCTCTCTCAGATCAGATGGTAAAAACCCCATTCTCCTGCTGCTATCGAGCCGCATCGCGCCGGTTCCCACTCATGAGCCCCCCCTTTCTGCACCCCGAATCAACCTACAGCGGCGGCAGGTGGTCCAGGCCATCGCCGACCGGCTCACGAGCCTGGCAGCACGACGCTCCACCAATCCCAGGGCCTCGACCCCCTGGGCCATTGAGAGGCACCAGAGGACGGGGAACCCCCTGACCAAGCTCTGGTCCAAACCCCTGGGCGGGAAGACTGACGACATCACCACCGTCGTCGTCGGCGTGTCCTGATGGCTGGCTGGTTCCCCTGTTCCCAGCTTGGATGCTCTCCTTGTCGTGAGGTTTTGAAGAGCAGCGCAACACATCTGCCTGTGCCTTGGGTGTGATTTTCGGTGTCGAGGTGCGGAGGGGCCCTGACCCTCTATCTCTGCGGCTCAGGAGCACCGTTTCACAGGGGTTTGCCACGTGTACACGAGACAGTGCGCTACAGGGGAATCACATCATGAGCAGGCCTGCGGGCGACCAGGGATTCTGCTGCCCCGACTTCTCCTGGGTGGGGTTGCGGGGCGGAGGGCGAGGTGTGGCACCCACCCCTTCCTCTGCCACCTGCAGCGGCGGCATGTGGAGCGAGCGATTGAGAATCAACGTCACAGCCTCCACATTCAGAGTCACGCGACGGAGCACACCCTGCTCATGGCCCGGGATCAAGGCCTCAATATGCAAGCATGGGCCGCACACTTCCCAGAAACCTTGGCATCAACCCTCTGCCAGCCACGACGCCCCACAGAGCGTGGCAGTGCCTGCCCGGGGGCCCTAGCGCCACTCGATTTCAACTCCCCCCCCTGCCACACAGACACGCACACCTGCTCCTGGGCCAGCGACTCAGGCGCTTGTTGCCACTGGGGGAGGCGCAGGTTCCACCTCCCCATCTGCAACGGGAGGGAGCTTCATGCATGGGCAACAGCCAGAGAAAGCACCTCCTCCTCCAAGGTTCTCAGGGAGGCACCACTGCCAGTCCAGCAACCGTCGCCACACCAGCATGCTCGCACACCACCCCAGTGCCCACCTGCGGCCGGGCATCTGGAGCGCTGAGGAGGGGCGGGGGCAGCGGGTGTGTTCCCCCCAGCGGCAGACTCTGCCTCCGCGCTGGTCCAAGCGGCGGCAGCTCGGCCTGCGGGCCGTCTCTCCCGGCCGCCAACGCATCCAGCCCCGGGTCGGAGTCGTCCACTCGCAGCCGCTGGGGCTCGGAGACTGCGCGGGGTGCGTGGTGGGTTGTGACGTGTCAGGAGGGGTGCTACAGGCCCTCGACTGCACGGGCCCCCCTTGTAGTTCCCCCCAGCAATGCCATACAACCCCACGGGCACCCACCCCGCCGGCGCGGACTGGTGCGCTTGCGTCGGACGACGTTGGACATCCCCGGCTGCTCGTCCTCCGCTGCATCCCCACGCTGCGCCGCGCTGCACTGCGCCGCGCCACGCTGCGCCTGGCCCAGCTCCACCAGGGCCTCGATGGCCAGCCCGCTGCCCCCCCGGCAGCCCCAGGTCCATGTCCAGGCTGCGGGCAGCCGATGCCAGCCCGGGTCCGCACCCGAGTCGTGGGGGGGGGAGGCTCGCGGGGGCGGCCAGGGGCTGCAGCTTGCCCAGCATGCCGTCCCTCGCCGGGCCTCCCACCATCTTAGGGGGGAGGTGGGGATTCTCAAGCGGTGAGTGAGGAGCAGGAAGGAGAAGGTTGTGGGAAGCGACACATGCGGCGCTGAGGCCTTGAACCTGCTCAGGCCTGGGCACACAGCTTGGCGGCCGCAGCGGCCACTCTGACACGTGACTTCCCCACTGACTGGCCTGCCGTGATGCACTGCGCCCATCACCACGCCCTCCTCCCGCCCCACACCTGGTGAAGGAGGGCAGTGAGGGAGGCGGCGGTCTGGGAGGCCCCGTTCTGGTGTACGGCCGCCTCCAGAATGTCGTGCAGCTGCCGCTCCGTCTGCCGGGGCCGGTCCGGTGTTGTGCCCAGCGAGGCAGGGCTGGCGGCCAGCCGCGCAGACTCCTGCACATTGGGGGGGCTCGGGGCATACGCGACTCGGCAGGCGCGGCGGGGAGGCGGCGACTCGGAGACGGGCAGGGCAGACGGCTGGACCACGCTCCGCCTGCAGTGCATTGTCCTGCAATGGCACGGTCTGGTATCGATCCCACCCCCAGACACACCTCTCGCAGCGGGGAGAAGAAGGAGGCGAGCATCGCCTCCCGCGACGCATACCTTGCGCCAAGCGGGTCAAAGTTGTCGGGCGGGCTTGGGACGAGTCCCGGGAGGCCATCGGCCGACCTCTCTTCACCTGCGCGGCAGCAGTGTGGCAGGTTGGAGGGGGAAGACGCAATCTCAAGGGAGTTCTTCGTTCTCGCCAATGGATTGCTCCGCCGGCACACCTCGGCCATGCCGGTCAGGCAGGCCCCACCCGATCCGGCCACCTCCACTCCACCCCGCGTACCGACGCCCGGGATGGCTTGACCAAAGGGCGTGCTGAGCTCCAGGGGCAGGGCCGCGCGCCGCGCGAGCGGCGTGGCGACTTTGGTGCGTGGCGCCGAGCCGCCGGCGGCCTCCGCCTTGACCTCTCCCTGGCCACTTTCAGGTGCAGGCGGGGCGTGGCTGCCAGAGGCTGTGCGAGGGGGGACGCGGTGTGGGTGCTGGGGCGGGGTCATGAAGTCAGGGTCTGCGAGCGACGGCTCGTCCAGGGGAATGCCCTGTATGGGGGAGGACGGGGAGCGGGACGTTTGAAGTAGTGCTAGGCTCGCACAGGAGGTGAGGAACTTGCACCTGTGCACAAGCACAGGGACATATGCATGGCTTCATGGATGGTATCGATCTCTGGTCATGCTGGAGACCTGCCCACCACCCGCTGCTCACAAGGGACGAGAGCTTGGCCTTCAGGCAAGCGTTCTCCTGCTCCAGGGCACGAATGCGGTCCTCCAGCAGCAACTCCCGCTCCTGCCTCCTCGCCCTGTCGCGAAGGACTGACGCAGTGGTCGCCAAGCCTGGAGCGAGATCGGCATCTGCAACCAAAGTTCAGACCAATCCCGACGGGCGACACGCCGGGAACCCTGCCCAGTGCATGCAACCCCCGCGCACCCCGACTCCTCGGCAGTACAATGCGGGGTTGCCCAACAGCTTGAATTCCCAGCCCAGGCAGGACCCAGTAGTGCACGCATACACTCATTACCTGGAGGCTGCAGCCGTCTCGCGGTTCTTCATGAGACGGCGTTGCCGCTTCCGCTCCTCCGGATCCTCAACACGAGCCAGGTCGACGGGGGGTACCTTCTTCCTGCCCTTGCGGCGTGCATGGGGACCCTGCATGGCATCTGACCCAATTTGTGATGTATCGCCGACCACTTCCCGCTCCGTACTGTAGGGCGGACCTGACGGCCAGCAGGTCTCCGCCCCCTTCTCGTCGGGAGTGCGCATGTCCTCGACCCCCGCCGAAGAAGCCATGCAGAGGACGCTGCACCGCCCTATATTCCTGTAATGGGATGTGCAGCAGATTTGCGGTTGGACCTGGGAACCAGCATGCGCGCAGGGACGGTTTTGGGCATGCGAGGACACCTATGTTTTCTGGTGGGGGGGTGCGGGCGCATGGCGGGAAAAACTCACAACCTCTAGCCCATCAAGAGAAAAATGCTGGCTTGGCTAGACCCAGCATTCCGGAAGCCCTGACGTATTTCATCTCATCCCTGCCTTTTGGAATTTGATCAGGGATGGGGAGCGTGCTATGCCATGTGGGCACGGAGTGGCGGGCGCAAACACCGTGGAGACAGTTTGTGCGAGAGCTTGAAAGGTGTGACAGGAGTGAGCACCGAGGTAGCCCACTCGCGCTCTGGACGCTGCCGGTCCTCGCCCCTGGTCCCAGGGCCTCGCATGCCGGCCGCAGCCACACGGGTCCGCTTTTGGGCACCCTTCCTCCTTTGTGGAGAAGGGTTTGGGGATTTAAGTTTCCCCATTGCAGACTCCATCCAGCCTACCGTAAGCCGGCCGGCGAGCTCGGGCCCCGGCAACAGACACAAGGCCCTCCCTGCCCCGGAACGGCACGCACCGGGAAAGCGCGGCGCCAGAGGCTTCGAGCGCTCTGCTGGGCCCAGGGCGATTGTGACAGGGTGTGTCCACATGGCCCTGCCAACAGTGAAGGAGCCAAGTTGAGGGAGGTCTTGGCACCGGCCCGCACATGTTTGCTGGGGAGCAGCAGGTTTACAGGCCGGCGCCTGCAGACCCTTGCACACCAAGAATTCAAGACGCATTGCCACCCCCCCAGGCCGCCCACGCACCCAGGGAGGTGGATTGAGACGAGACACGCTGCCGCGGCTACATGACGGAGTACCTCCCCGCCGCCGGGGCCTCGCGCCGCATCGCCCGCTCCGTCTCCTCCTCGATGATGCGCTTGATCTCGCCCTTGGCGCGCCGCACGATCTGCTCCGTCGGTCCTGCACAGTCGACGTGAGGGGGGGGGATGAAACCTGGGGTGAAGAGCTGTGGGAGGCCAGGTAATGGCCTTTGCTTCGGTCAGCGGCAGGGTGGGCTTGGATGAAGCTGGACGAGTAGCCCTGTGCTGGCGGCCCCTGGCCAAGCGCCCCCTCTTCCCCTCCCTTCCCCCAAGAAAGGAGAGACCCTGGCCCACCCACCCTCGATGTGGAGGTAAATCTTGCGGTCGCCCTCGGCCACCTTGGCGCCGGGCGGGTAGAAGGTGCCCTTGATGACCACCGCCGCGCCCAGCTCCCCCATGTCGTTGATGGTGTCGCGGTGCGTGACCTGTGTTTGTGGGTGAGATGGTGTGTGGGTGAGATTGGGGCTTGCACCATGAAATGGAAATGCCTCCGTCAATGCTCAAGACTCCGTACACACAAACCTGCGCACGGCACCTCACAAACACAGCATGCCACCCCCATCTTGACCCAGCCCCCCTGATACGAAAGGCCACCCGCCCCTCCACTCAGTCCCCACCTTCCACCGCGCGCGCTGGGGGAAGTCGTTGATCTCCAGCTCCGTCTCGAAGTGGCGCGTGGGGCCCGCCGGCCTGCCCGCCGCGGCGGCCGCGGCGGCCGGCGGCCGTACTCCCGCCTGCGGCTGCATGGCCTGCAGCAGGCTGGCGATGCTGTCCGGCGGCAGCGTGGCCGGCCCGGCACCGACAGCCGCCGCCGGCGCGGGGGCCGGCGCCAGCCCCGCCGCGGCGTTGATCTGCTGGCTGATGCGCGCGGCGGCAGCCAGGAGGTCGGCGTTGGGCGCCACGCCGCCCGC